ACTGGAAGCTATATGTATTGATAGAGATGACAGCGGAATAGGTTGAGGTCCGGCGGGCGGCTAAGGTGAGGTTGCCGCCCGCCGGGGAAGCGAAAATACTAGGTTCTAAACCTGCTCTGATACCATGTAGAAAAATTTAATGTATAAAGAGAAATAGAGAATTGTATAGATATTGATTGTATTATTGATTGTTGTATTTTGTGTTTACAATGAGTCCTATATATAGAAGATTTAAAGGAGGTAGGTATGTAGTAGGTGGAGTAGTAGGTGGAGAGGAGGTGGTAGTGGTGTAGTGGGTTAGGTTTAGTGGAGTAGGTGAGGTGGTAGTGGTGTAGTGGGTTAGGTTTAGTGGAGTAGGTGAGGTGGTAGTGGTGTAGTGGGTTAGGTTTAGTGGAGTAGGTGAGGTGGTAGTGGTGTAGTGGGTTAGGTTTAGTGGAGTAGGTGAGGTGGTAGTGGTGTAGTGGGTTAGGTTTAGTGGAGTAGGTGAGGTGGTAGTGGTGTAGTGGGTTAGGTTTAGTGGAGTAGGTGAGGTGGTAGTGGTGTAGTGGGTTAGGTTTAGTGGAGTAGGTGAGGTGGTAGTGGTGTAGTGGGTTAGGTTTAGTGGAGTAGGTGAGGTGGTAGTGGTGTAGTGGGTTAGGTTTAGTGGAGTAGGTGAGGTGGTAGTGGTGTAGTGGGTTAGGTTTAGTGGAGTAGGTGAGGTGGTAGTGGTGTAGTGGGTTAGGTTTAGTGGAGTAGGTGAGGTGGTAGTGGTGTAGTGGGTTAGGTTTAGTGGAGTAGGTGAGGTGGTAGTGGTGTAGTGGGTTAGGTTTAGTGGAGTAGGTGAGGTGGTAGTGGTGTAGTGGGTTAGGTTTAGTGGAGTAGGTGAGGTGGTAGTGGTGTAGTGGGTTAGGTTTAGTGGAGTAGGTGAGGTGGTAGTGGTGTAGTGGGTTAGGTTTAGTGGAGTAGGTGAGGTGGTAGTGGTGTAGTGGGTTAGGTTTAGTGGAGTAGGTGAGGTGGTAGTGGTGTAGTGGGTTAGGTTTAGTGGAGTAGGTGAGGTGGTAGTGGTGTAATAAAAAATAAAAATAAAAAAAGTTAATGGAAAAATGGATGATGCTCACTACCTCAGTTGTATAATAATGAAATATTGAAATCTTGAGAGAGAAAAGGGATGAAGGGTTCGGAGTGTTAAAATAATGCAATCTTGAAATCATGAAATTTGGAAATTTTGATTTTGAAATTTTGAATCCACACTCGCACTGAGGTAGTGCCCAGCAAAAGGAGATGATGTGGGGTAGTAATTAAAGGAGTAGGAAAAAAAAGAAAAGAAAAAAAATCAAGTTTCCAGGCCAGGTGATGTAGCAGGTGTGTATTGTCAGTGGTGCGCCGTGTTGTATTGGAATGTTTTTCTTTACAACCCCATTTCGTAGCTCGAAATGGCGTGGGTCGAAAGGCCCGAATTGCTTTGTACACCCACCCCTTTTCTTTGTACCCTATGCAAGACAAGTTGAGTGAAAGTGGTGGGAAGAAAAAGGGAAAAGAAATGATGGGTATGTGATAAAATAAAATATAAAATCAGTGGGTTGGTGGAAGAAAAGTTTAAAAGAAATGGTGGGAAATATTTAAAATAAAGGTGGGTGTGTGGTGGAAGAAAATGATGGAAGGCCAGGCTAGGCTGTCCATTGGGGAGGCACTATGTCCAGTGGGGTGGTGCCTCTGACCGGCCATGCCACAGTAAAATAAACGTTCTTCTCCATTGCTCGAGGAGATAGACACGTGACTTCTGTAGTATAGCCACCGGGGTACATTGTTTGGAAGTTCAACCAAGAGAAAAGGTGCCCAACTGTTGAATGAATCGCTTGGACAAAGCAGAGGAGAGAGATCCATCTGGAGGTGATTGGAGTCGGCGGCAGCAGCAGAAGCCACAGTAGGCAAGGCCTCATAAGAGCCAAACCGCCGGATTCCAACAGTCTTGGCAACGACAGCATAAGTGAGCATGACAACGCGGACAACGAAGACGACGTGGATGACAAACAGCAGATCGAGGATTGCGACGGCCCTGAGCTGGGAGTCGTCCAAATCGCACTTGGTGGAACCGTCGACGCCTGCGGACAACGTCGAGAAGCTTGTGGCATCCTTCAGGTATGAAGGCATCGACGTGGAGAGAGAGGCCGGCCTGAAGCACCGAGAGTCCCTGAAGGCAGAGGGAAGCCCCAAGGGCGAGGTCGGTGACGAAGAGTCTGGGGTGGCAGGCGAGGAAGGGGTAGAGGAGGGCGGAGAGGGCGGAGATGCGGGCGGAGACGGAGTCGCACGGTTTCAACAAGCATGGTTGGGGTCCGGCGGGCGGTGAAGGCAAGGTTGCCGCCCGCCGGAAGGTGAAGATCACCAAGAGCTAACCTTGCTCTGATACCATGTTAAAATTCATGTATATGTATTATTGATTGATATCTGTTTTGATGTATTGTATGTACGTTATATAGGAGATGGAGATGTGAAGTGGAGGTGGAGTGGTGGAGTAGGTGAAGTGGAGTGTGTAGTGGAGTAGGTGAAGTGGAGGTGGAGTGGTGTAGTGGGGTAGGTTTAGTGGAGTAGGTTTAGGTGTACATTAACAGATACGGACAAGTGACACAACACGAATACAACACGGACACGCTGACACGTTAATTTTCAAAAAATGCAGGACACGACACGTGGGGTACACACATGAAATATATAATTTTATATATTTATTATATGTTATATATATGAATTTATCATTCAAAGATAATAAAAAATGTAATATGACACTAATTCATATAAATTTATATGGTTTTTGTTTTGTTATTGTATCTTAAGTTATTTTATTCAAACTTATAATTAGTTTCACATATGTCTAATCGTTAGACACGTTTGTTTAAACGATTGACATGTGTGTCCTTCAAGTATCCAACGAGTGTCCAGGTCTTTAAAAAATAGGACACGTTTTGAAGAGTGTCGGACACGTGTCCTAAAAGTGTCCAAAGAGTGTCGGTGTCCAACACGGACACGACACGGATACGTCACCTTCTTAGAAGTGTTTGTGCTTGTTAGATATTTTGGTATTCACCCTAGGCCTCTATTTATAATTCAAGTGTCCGAGAATATCTGAAAGACCTCTTTAAGGTCTCTCCATATGATAAACTGCTTATATCTCACAAAATCAGCACCTTCGCTCAAGCCCATAAACTGATGATTGTAATCCCACTCGAGCACGCCCTGACACCGCTCAAGCACACTTTTTCTAGAAATGTTGAATACATCCTCCGCTGCATTAAAAGCTTGTACTGTGCTGCTTCTCGAACTTGTGTTGTGCTTAGCATTGTTTGGACCCACTTGATAATGTTAAGATACTTGCAATCCTTGTTGATGTAAAGCACTTGAATCCAAGACTAATGCAAATTCTTTAATGACTCGAACACCAACTTAAATCAAAATTACAACTTGACTCAAACCCCAACTTAAATTAAAATTACAACTCAATTAGGACTTGTTTTGTCAACAAAATTTCCAATCCAAATAGAACACTGACAATAATCAATTATTATGTTACTAAAGACCACTAAAATATGGAGTATAGGGTTTCTTAGGGTGCAGGAAAGGGATAATAGTTTTCACTAAATGGCTGGCCCAATTTTTGCTCTAATGTTTTTCAAAATGGACTCATTACACAAATGGTCCCCGATGTATGCATTATGTGGAATTTTGCTCCCCATTTTCAATTGTGTCAATTTAGTCCCTAAAATATGACATGCGTGTTCATGTGGTCCCCATTCCTGATGATGTTTCAAATCACTAATGGAACCAAGGGTATTTTTGGAGGAACCAACAAACTATGCCCTTTGTGGCATTTTTATCTCACCCATGTTCCGTTAGTGTAATTAGTTTGGTAGTTCCTCAAAAAATACCCTTTCTTTCCGTTGGTGATTTGGAACACCGTCAAGCATATTTTGGAGACTACATTGACTTGGGCCTCATTTGTCAGTAGGCTATTTTAGTCTTAAAGCTAGTACAAGTTATCACATCACTCTCTCTACTTTTCTACATGTCTTTTCTTTAAAAGTCAAAAAAACACTAAAATAGTCAATTCCCAAACGAGCCCTTAATTGGAATATTAGTGACCAAAATACCATAGGGCACATTCATTGGACACCATTAGTGTAATTATTCCTTTAAAAACTTAGCAAATGTGAAAATAAATTTAAAATGCAAAGACTCATACATCTTTTACTTTGAATTCAATAAATCAGTGAAGCAACAAACTTCTTCTTTTCTCTTCTTTTTTTTTTCCCTTTTTTTTGGGGGGGAGATTAGTAACAAAACAAAATTATTAGAGAATATGCCAAGGGGGGCACGACTCTTATACAATCACAAGAAAAAGAAAAATATGGGAAACAAGAAAAGAGTACAAACATAGACCCAAAATGTGATCCAAAAGATATCCGCTACCAACAAATAAACATCAAAATTGCACCACTTTGGCAAAAAATGCTTTCTCATCTTTTATGTCATCGACTGCCAGTTTTCTCAGGGGAAAGAATCAAGAAAGATAAGTTGATCACAAAGAAAGATGGTTATCACATTTGTTCCAATCATGTAGAACCACGCAAGAAAAATATCGAAATACCCATATAAAGGCATAAATGCACATCTGCACATGCATCTAAACAACCACAAGCACCTGTGCAGACATAACAAATACAAATACATATATGACTGAGTGCATGAGCAGATGTGAGAGATTGGTATGCCTTTCTTCCTTTTGGAAATGGGGGAAGGTGGGAGGAGGATAAACACTTGTGTCGTAATGCAGGGATCGTAACTATATACCTCCCCTTTGGGAATGGCAACCTGAGAGTTAACTGTTGAACTTTAACAACTAGTGATCAAAGATTGATGTGTAATTTGCAAGATGAACAATAGGTGTGAAGCGATTGCCAGAGGTGGACAAGAATAAGGTTTCATATTCATAAAAACCATAAAGAAAGAAGTTTATTTCTTCATTTTACCTTGCTCTCGTCGAAATCAAAATCAACTAGAGGAGCTCTATCTGGGAGGGAAAATTCATCCAAACATTTGTAGTTTTCCGCTGACCAAAGCCGCATAACCTGCAAAATTAGAAATGAAACAATTATAGTTAGGTGCATACTGCCTTCCCAATATAAGGAAACAAAACAGGACTAAAAAATAAAAATAAATGTGTGTATATATATGAATCAGTTGATACGGACAATGTGATGTAGTATGTAAATAATCTTACAGATTCCTAGAAACTAGAGCACTTAATGAAGACTAGTGGACAGAAAACCGAAAGACCATAGTCACACAAGACAATAAACAAAATTGCACAAGGAGAAGGCCCAAAAGAATGCAGTTTGGGCTAGCAATAACAGAAATGTATGCCTATATTACTCAAAAATTATCACCGCAATAAAGATGTATTTGACCAGCCAACACAAAGTTGCAACAAATTTTTCCCAGCCTTGTCACTAACCTATGGCAATTTGAGAGTGTTTAATGGAATCATTTAATAAACCCAAGTTTCCTGGCAATTTTTTTTTTTTTTCTTTTTCAGATGGGGAGTTTGCAACTTGGAGTAGAGGGAAATGATGCCAGGCAAATTGGAATTCATGAATGCAATAAAACACCAGTCCAAAACATTAAGGAAACCACACAAAAAGAAAATATTTGGAAGCCAGAAATAAAAAATAAAAAATAAAAAAACTTCATTGAGATAGAAAAACACCAATGGTTTTTTTTTTAAATAAAAAATAGGAATGCCTCTAATCAAGAAAAGAGTTGCAGAGTGTGTAGAGGTCTAATAGGTGGTTTTAAAACCATGTTCACACTCAAAATTGCCATTTGATAAACATATTGACACCCAAGCAACTACAAAGCAACATCCTTCAATGGGGCAATATTTTTAAGAGATATCCTAAGGAAGCACGGGTGCGGGTACGAGTACGGTACGGGTACGAGTGCGGGTACGCCGATTCGGCAAAACTCAAAAAAAGTACGATACGGGTACGGCTACGGTACGCCGATATTTTTTTATTTTTTTTAAAATATAATTTTGATTAAAGGATCCAACCTACAAATTAAAATTAAATATCAAAACTAAAAAAAGAACTACTCATTTTCCTATAATTTAAAACCATTAAGCGTTAAAAATAATATTTGTGAAATCTCTCACTTTGATATGTTATGCACTGTGAATTTGTGATCATAATTTATTTTTAAAATCTTTCTTTTTGCTCATCAATTTGCTATTTTTATAGGGTGAGACCAAAGAAATAAAAATTAAAAATTAATATAAAGAAGAAAAAAGAGTTCCACTAACAGTTTATGGAGTAATAATTCCTACGGTACATAGTGTACATAGGGACCATACCTTATCACCTACACCAGTAAGAATCAATCCTGTCTTCATTCGACACTGGTCAACCCTAATAGACAGATAATTAGAAGAATGATACATACACATACCAAGCATACATAAAAGTTTTTAATACATCTCAAGATATAACAAGCTGTAATAGCTTTGTAGTAAATTGATTTCTTGTTTTCCCAACAGTAATGAGGAATAAATGCACAAAATTGGAGGTTCAATTTTGTTGATGAGTGTTAGAAACATTGTTTAATACAATTCACCAAACTCTCTTTGGCAAAAAATGTCATATACCCCCATCCAAAAGAATCTTCGCTTGAGAACTATCAACAACAGTACTGGCTTTCCTCTTTCTTTTCCTTTATCCATACTCTGACCAAAGACAAAGAATACATATTTTGCATTAAGAAAATTAAATAACATTGTCTACTATGGTGTTTGGAAGTCCAAAAACTGTTTAGATCAATCAATTATGGCTTAGATAGTGTGTGAAACACCACCTAGGAGGCCAATGTGGAGAAATAACATAATGTATTTCACTCCTAACCAAGAAGATTATTAGAGATAAAATAAAAATAAAAATTAAATAAAGGGCCCAGTTGATTCAAATTTCATTAGACAATCCAATTACAGAAATAGAACTCTGAATTTATGAATTATCATCCAATTTCCGATATGACACAAAAAATATTTTTAAAAAATATAATAGTTTCCAGCCAAACAGATATAGCCCAATCAATTATATGTAATGGTTAAGATATTTACTATGCCTTTTTTGTAGATGTTAGATTTTATATTTATTTGTGCATATATATAAGGCTACACATTGAAAAACAAATTGAGGTTGAAATTCAAGAATTCATTGATGATGTGAGGGGATGTGACACATGCAAACAATTAAAGGGCAAACTTGGGAGTTCCATACAGGAGTCAAGATCCTCTAGAGTGATATTTCTTAGAGTGATTGTAGAGTGATAATGTTAGGCTTTGAAACCTTTTTGGTTATGCCAATACCTGTACTTCACCTTAAAAGTAGTCAAGATCATAGAGATCAAATAAATTGTGCTTAATATGTAAAATCCATGGTTGATTATAGAACTCCATGCCTTATTTCTAACAGATAACATCCAATGAACAAAAAACTATGAGCATAAAAAAAAACGATTTACCCAACTGAATGACCTTTCCACTGAAAAACATTGATGGGACCTTCTTGCATGGAGAACCTATGGCAATCCATAGCCAGCTTCTGCAGATGTAAGTTCAATAATCTTTCTGAACTGGTAGACAAATCGAAAGTACTGCCAGAATTCTTCTGTTGCTTGCAGTAAAGTGTTTGCAGTAACTTGGATTTGGAAATAATTATATTCCTTCAGAGGTTAAAAAAAGAAAAGAAAAGAGAAGGAAAGAAAAAAACAGGAGTCGTCAGCAATTTTGCAAGTAAAAAAAGGGATCCAAAAAAACAGCATGAATTATAAAAATAACTGAATGGTGTCAAATAATCCCATTGAAATTCATTTAAAATAAATAAATGAAACCTAAAAGTGTCCAATTCAATATTAAGGAAAATAAAGAATTCTCATAGAAGCCTACTCTATTTTCTGAGAAGGGTGGGTTAAGAAACTTTTATAACATAAAAAATTAAGTCAAAATCTTACCAGCAGAATTTCTTTTTTCTTATTTTTTTTTTAAACTGACAAAATTAGTTTTATTTTCTTCTAATATAAGGTTAACCTAGTAGGTTTGGGTAAAAATTCACATAATTTGTTCTTCATGTTTGTCGTGATCAGTGTTTTTAGCCAAATTTATACAAAAGATACATTCTAACAACATGTTATGATGAGGTCGGTCTCTATAGTCTACGATTGAAGGTTGATAATTAGAATTTTTACTTCATCTTCTGAAGGACATCAAAACACTGCCCGGTATAGAAGTTAGTTCAACCATTTTTTAAGCTCAAGGTAGTCTAAAAATTAGAAACAATGAGCATAGTTCAAAATGCCAATAAACTTCACACAGGGTTCTTGCTCTGATGAAATCATCAGTATCGCTGCAATGAAGATTCTGAAACCCTAAAATAAAGACAGAAACTAACCATATGTTCCACTTCATTATCCATATAAGCCTTTTAACTCCATCTAATTAATGCCACAATATACAGTAGTTCTGACAAAACTCAAATCAATCAACTAATAGGGAAAGTACAATGGTACACACCCCAAACTAAAAGATAAAATGATATACCTTCATGCTTTCTTAGTCATATATATATATATATATATAAAAAAATTATCATAACTAAACATACCATGAACCATAAGTAAAGAACACATCAGTTATAACTAAAATAATGTAAGAAAATTGAAAATAGCATAACTAGGTGTTATATTAGAATTTCCCAACTAATAGACCTAAAACTGTTCTGCATAACATTAGCCTAACTGGTCATACCCATGTCTTATGGAATTGCAATATATAACTCAATCAATCTTTAAATTTGGCTTTTTTTCTAGAACATTGAAAAAATAACCATAAATTTTAAGCGAATCTGGTTGAAATAGCATAATTTGAGGTAACATGCAGTTTGGGTGCTTAAAAGTTGTATGAAATAGGAAATAGAAAATAGAAAGAAGACACTGTATAATTTTCTACGCCGTTTCACAACTTTCCTGTGTTTTCTGGGCAACCAAACGTATATGAAAGTGAAGGAGAAGGGGTACCAGGATTTGCAGACGGCAGAGCAGCGAACGAGGTCGAGGAGGTCGAGGAAAGAGAACAGAGTAGAGAGAATGTCGTGGCTGAGGGCATAGATAGTGGTCCGATGTCTTGTGCTCCTCTTCTTTTTCGACGGTGGGTGGCCTCCGGTGGTAGTGGCGTCCATTGTCGACCTCGCTCCCCTCAATTTCTGAGTTCCCACCGTCAAGCCAGACTTGACCCGTCCCGCAAAGCCATCGCCCCGACCCAAACGATCTTAAATACTACATACTTTTGATTTTCTCCAATTACGAATATTGTAGCCCGGTTGGGAGTCGAATTTGGCGTAGAATAGTTAGGGCTAGTTTGGCATGTACTAAATAAGTCAAAAAGTCACTATCTTATTTAAGTCACATTATCTTATTTAAGTCACATTATCTTATTTAAATCACATCACTTCTCTAACACATCACATCAAACCCAACCCAAACCCACAATTATAATTATTTTATTTTTTGTTTTAACAATGATCAAGCAATTACAAAAAAAAATTAATTATCTCCATAAACACAACTTTTTTAACTAGGATCAAAAAGTCAACTAAAATAGTCTATTCTCAAAGTGGGACTATATTTGGGTTTCAAATTGTATTAATTTCACCTTCTATTAAGTTAGCTTGGGAATTAGCTTTTTTGGTATTTTTTGAATTTTTACAAAAATATGTGTAAAAGTATAAGTGTGTTCGGGCGATAAATCCAATTTTGACCTTTCATTGCCCGTTGGTCTTGGCGCTCAAACTATTCATAAGGACAAGGTGGTGCAAAATTATCACACTACCTATGTATGTAGAGGTGTGCGCGGTGCGGGTCGGTGCGGTTTGAGAGAAAAATAGAAATCGTATAGCGGGTGGCAGATTGATAAAAGTGTCACTAGAATTTGCTATTTTCCTTATCAAAAATCGGCGGTTCGATTGGCAAATAATGACGATAAACACAACTTTTTTAACTAGGATTAAAAGGCCAACTAAAATAATCTATTCTCAAAGTGGGACTATATTTGGGTTTCAAATTGTATTAATTTCACCTTCTATTAAGTTAGCTTGGGAATTAGCTTTTTTGGTATTTTTTGAATTTTTACAAAAATATGTGTAAAAGTAATAGTGTGTTCGGGCGATAAATCCAATTTTGACCTTTCATTGCCCGTTGGTCTTGGCGCTCAAACTATTCATAAGGACAAGGTGGTGCAAAATTATCACACTACCTATGTATGTAGAGGTGTGCGCGGTGCGGGTCGGTGCGGTTTGAGAGAAAAATAGAAATCGTATAGCGGGTGGCAGATTGATAAAAGTGTCACTAGAATTTGCTATTTTCCTTATCAAAAATCGGCGGTTCGATTGGCAAATAATGACGGATTTGCCTTGGCGGTTTGGGCAGATTGGCGGTTTATAAAAAATATAATTCAAATTACAAAACTTAAATCAAAGAGTAAAAAAAAAGACGAGAGATACCGTGATGTTAAGCATCTTGCGAAGCTTGTTTCTGATGCAGCAAGTGTAGCAACAACATGATAATATCAACGACTATGCCATCAGTTCATTACAAGCATCTCTGGAAGCTACAATGATCAAATACAATACATAAAATTAATATCATTCAGGGTTTACAATATATTGAAAATGTTTACCATTGAAAAGTATTTAGATTGAAAAGTGAGCTGATGCAAGTTTGCAACATGGCCAGAAAAAAAAAAAAAATTGAAAAGTGAATTGGAATCCAATTTTATTTTGGATTACTGACATCTTGAATTCCCTTCGAACAGTAATGTAATACTATATTATAAGGTATAGAACAACAAGCAAACTTAAGTAAAAAAGAATTTTTAAAATCTTATAAAACATGATTTAATAGCGGTGCGGGTCGGTGCGGCTTGGAAGAAAAATAGAAACTGGCGGATTGATAAAAGTGTTACTAGAATTTACCATTTTTCTTACCAAAAATCGGCGGTTAGATTGGCAAATAATAACGAATTTGCCTTGGCGGTGCGGTTCGGTGCTGTTTTGGCGGTTTCGGCGATTTCGGCGGTATTATGCACACCCCTATATGTATGTATATTCTATCAGCACTCCCATTTATTTCCAACCCCCATTTTCCAATAACCTCTTTATCTCTATCTCTCTATATATATATCTTTCTCTCTCTCTCAAACTTCATTGTCCTTCGTCGCAACGTCGCAACACCTCCTCTACTGTTATCCATCGCAGTACTACCGCACCTCATCCATCATCCTCTGTCACTGCACTGCCATAACACTTCTTTATCTCTCTCGTTTTCGTTTCTCTCTCCTCTGACTCCAACTCTTATCTCTCTTCTCTAATCTCCGATCTTTACCTCGGTGACTCAAATCTACAACTCAAGCGAGTCAACCTCACTTAGATCTATTTGTACAGAAATTAGCAGAGTCCGCTCACTATGGAAGCCACGGTTGCTATGGCGGACATCGACCGTTGCCATATTGATGCTAATGAATAAAGATCAAGAGAGCGATGTAAAGCCAGTGCTTCAAGTGGTAGACCTGAGGTTGATGAACACATAAAAACAGAGCAACGAACTCTCTGATGATTCAAATCTCTAGCAAGGTATCTCTCTGTATCTCTCTCTTTATCTCTCTTTCTCTTCTCAGATCTCACATCTCTCTATTCACATCTCTGTAGATTTATCTCTCTTCTCACATCTCTGAAGATCTAGCCAACTGATTGAAAATATGACATATAAGACTTCATGTGATGCAGATTTTTATTTTCATCTGTATATTTAACTATAAATTTGTATATATGTATATCTAAGTATGTATTTTCATCATTGAGGATCTAGAGCTACAAGAAGAGTCAGGTTTTGTATATTCAATGCTTTGATAGTCCATTGTGTAGATTTTCTAATGTTTTGATGATAATGATGATAAAATAGATTGTAATAGATTAAACAAAAAATTTAGACAAATTTGTTTAATTTTAAACAGGTAGGTTGAGAAGAATTTATATTGGATATGTTCAATTTCGAACAGATAGGGAAAATTAGGACAAGAATTTCAACATAAGGCATTTCACACAGATAGATTTTGAACAGATAGAATAAAAAATTCAATAAATAAAAGTTCGACAGATAGAATTCAAGAAAAAAAAAATGAACAACGTCGCATCGACGCCGTTATTATTGTTGTTATCCGTTGGAAAGCAAGATAATCTCGCCGTCAACATCATTAGAGAGCATGGATGTGTGTGAAAGAAAGAGTGGAGATTGATAAGGTTTGGTGCATTGTTTGAAGAAAACAAAACCCTAGGTGGAGAGATTAGAAATGTGTGACAATTCATTTCAAGTGGTCGCTCGAGTGGTGAAAAGACCGCTCGAGTAGAGATAAGATGCTTCTAGTAATTTGGTTTACAGGTCGATGGACCACTCGAGCGAACAAGTGGTCACTCGAGCGAAGATGAGGGAGTTCTCAATATCTCATTTTGCAGGTAGAGATACTGAGAGGTTTTATTCACCGCTCGAGCGGTGAAAAGACCGATCAAGCGGTTTGCGCGATTTTAGCAACTGAAAAAGTCACTTTTTAGGTCATTTCTCTCAATTTTTCTTTTCTCTCTTCTCTCTCCCTCTCTAGCTCCGAAAACCCTAGCTTATTCTCTCTAGAAATCTCCCATTTCTACTTCGCAAACCATTGCTTACAAAAATTGAAGTTTAAGTTAAGACCAAGCTTTCTACCGATTAGATTGGGTTTTCTCAAAGAGTTGGTTGATCGTCTAGCTTTTTGCTCTTGAAGTGAGACTACTTTCATCTTTGTATCTCTTTGATTTGGAGATGAATATGTGGTGTTACCATAACATTGTTGAGTTAATGGATATAGAAGTTATAAATGAAGCTTTTCTTACAAAAAATAATTTTTTCTCCACAAATTTTCTTAGGATTTCTACTTTTGGCCGTGGATTATGGGAGTTCTTAATGAAAATTAATATTATATATGTCGGTGGGGTAAAAGCCCTAAATTTTACAAAAAAAAAAACCCTAATTTTGAAATTTTAAAGATGATGTAATAAAGGGAAATTGACTCTTTATTCTTGAAATTGATGATTGGATTATGATATTTTGAATATGTATTGATTGAGACTTGCGAAATTGGAACCTCTTAAGATTTTCTTAAATTATGAATATTGTTCCTTATTACTCCTTGCTTAAAGAATGTACGAATACTTGGAATTCTTAGAAACATTGTTAAGGGAGAGGTAAATAGCATGTGAGTTCAATTAGAGAGTCGTTCTTTTTTGTTTTTTGTTTTTTTTTGGGAGGGGGAAAAGATGTAAATGTGTTGTGTTGGTACCCGCACGGAGAAGTCTAGGTGCCGAATTGCCCTGTCTTGAGCTTATCGCCGGATGAATGTGGGAAAATATTTTTTGGGTTTATCCCATATAAAAATGTGTCTGTGTGTGTGTGTGTCTGTGTGTGTGAGAGAAAGAGAGTAAATCCATAATAATAATAATATAAATTTCATGACTACCTCTTTCCCATTAAACTATTCCAATGATTACATCATTGTTTGTTTACATCTATCAACAAAATAAAATAGTTCAAAAGACAAGAGATAATGTAAAGAAAGAGCCAAAAAGGCAAACATCTTCTTGAGGAGCTTTCCAATGATTACATCAACATCATTTCTTGAAAGGTGGTTAGTTTTGGGGTGATTTAGTGCCCAGTAGGAAATAAATTTAACAAATTATATAAATATTTGAGATGCATATGATCATGTCATGCATTTGTTAGGATAAAATCTATATTTTCTCATTTAAAACCAAAATTTTTCCATGCATGATTTTCATTCAAAGTCTCATCTACTACCATAGGATGGTGAATCTGCTATGATATCCCAAGCAAGAGTCGCAAAACCATACAAACATATGTAGATTTATATACAGAAAATATTTCCACGTACGTTTGCCGACTCTAAAAACAGCGAGGCGATGGGTACCCAAAATCTTTCCCTCTCCACTTTCATCGGCTCCTAAAATGGCGGGCTTGTGGACACCCAAAATCAAGTTTGTCCACATTTGCTGACTCTATAAACGGCAGGCTCGTAGACACCCAAAATCAAGTTTGTCCACATTTGCTGACTCTATAAACGGCAGGCTCGTGGACACCCAAAAACCTTTCCCACATTCGTTCGGCGATATGTACTAACAGGGCAATTGGGCACCTTGACTTCCCGCGTGGGTACCAGATACAACACAACTCAATTCCCA